TGAGGAATTGTTCTTGATGTCTGTCTCTGCATTCACTACACCCGCGTACAACTTGTAATAATAATAATAATAATAATAATAATAATAATAATAATAATAATAATAATAATAATAATAATAATAATAATAATAATAATAATAATAATAATAATAATAATAATAATAATAATAATAATAATAATAATAAACGGTTTTCGGCAAACGCAATACGCCCGAATATAAGCTCAGCAGTTATAGAGAACTTTTCGTTTGATTGCTGCGATTGTGACGAATTAGAGTATCTGTGATAAGGTGTAGCTGGTTGTATGCAAAAGCGTTAACATCTCTTAAACCCTAAATAACACAGAATTGAAAAAGAATGTCGTTAGTAAACAGAACTAGCGTTTAATAAACAAAGATTTTTATTTGCAAGGGCTCTTATCATTGACCTGGTAGATAAGCTAACATGTTCTGCAACTATATGACTGGCTGAAACTGGTACTTCTTACGTAAGATCGGTCATCGAGGAAAAAATATATTTTTTTGTTGTAGCAATACTGGTCCTAGCTTTCTTGTAGCTTGCTGACATTCGAAATTCGCGCTAAAGCGAAGGCAGTAGTGGTGCGATACATAGCCGCCAGATCTCGCGCTTTGTGCACTCCGTTCGGGAGTTATTCAGCGTATGCTTTATGCTCCATCTAGCGGTGCAGCAGAACAACAGTTACGTTAGTTGCCAAAGAGCGCAGCATTTGAATCTCGACAACACTTGAGTAAACGAGCCTCACGTTGTTCATATCACCGGCTCACGCGTTCATTTGTTGAGCAATATTACCCTTATTAATGTGAGAGTACTGTGCGTGCAGATACACAAATGCGTGACAATCAGTTGCGAATTCGTGATAAAGGACATTAATTAGTTGAAACGAGGTCGCCTTGATACAAATGGTGAGTGTTTTGTGAGAGTCATTGATGATCGTGCTGCTTTGTCAAACTTTGGATCCGTTGGTGAACGCACACACAGATACGTTTATTATAGAAGCACAACCTTTGAGATCGTGTATTATTACGCTTTTATTGCTTGTGGTTAGGGGACAAATACTTTAGAGATTACATATGCTATAGGAACATGCACGGAGAAACATCACGATGATCCCATAAGCTCATGCCTTCCTTTCGTTCACTCACTGCGAGAGACAAAATCAGGCGAAGCCTTTTCTCTTGATGTCACGTGCACTGGCTGACAAATTACTGGAAAAGGCATTACATGAGAGAGTCAAAAAGAAGAGTCAAAACCAAGCAATGTTTCTCCTGCCGCCTTTCTTTAGAAGACTGTTAAATATGTTTATACCACTTTTTATTACTCTCTCTCAGTGATTATTCCTCACACCATAGTGATAGTCTGCGAAAGAAACAAATAACAAAAAATGTTAACAAAGAGCTTGGGCAAACATTCTTCCTTCATATTTCGTAATTGAAAATTCGCTAAGCTGCGTGGGTAAAGTTCGTTGTCTCCCTCTGAAGTGCCTCACTACGCCCTTCATTCATTTGTCAAGTTCACCTAAATCAATAATCCTGTGAAATCACTGTAGAGATTACTAGCACATTAGTTGAAGGATATTTGCGAATGCCGGACCGCTGTCACCTTCTTGACGATCAATTACTAATGAACTCCAGCGTATAGAAGACATGGCGTAGTTATGGCCGGGATTACTGAAGACCCAAATTCACAGAGTTTTTCATTACGAAGAACTCATTGCCATGACATTTCATTTTAAATATGATATTACCTACGGCATGTCGCTGCGCTTGATCTTTCGAATGGCTTCATCCCAAGAGCATTTTTTTTGTGTGTGTGAAATCGTACTAATCCGCGAGAAATGCGTCTCATTTAAAAGTTTGGAAGTTTAGTAACGTATGGCCACAAGCCAAATTCAAAAAGGTGCCTCATTTGACTACTTTCTTTCTCGCTGTTTCTAATATGCACAAATTAACGCTGGACAACCTTAAATCAGCTACTTCCATACCTGCTGAACATCCATGCTGTGAGATTTCGCTTCATTAGGCGAGGCCGTTCGGCGGAATATCTGATAATAGTGTCATATGACGTGACGGGGCATTTTTTTTTTTTGCGACGTATGGAGCTGCGCCAACTGCCGGCAAAATCGCAATAAAAACTGCACAGTGGATTGCGATGAGAGAAAAAAAAAAGAATGGACAGGATGCCGCAACACTTTCCCCGTGGGCAGAAAATACAAGTCTGCAGAGGCAGCACTGGGAAAGGTGGGTGCGAGGTTGCGGAATTTTCATTTCAAGGTCGAACGTGATGCGGTTCCTACAAGTTTCAAGTGTGGGCGATATGCCGAGACAGTCGCACAGCGACTGTCTCGAGATGAAAACAAATGTCGGCTTTGCGCAGGAAACTTACGACAAGGGAAAGAAACACAGAAAAACAAAGTGAAGCCAGTAGGAGGCTTTTGCACCGCATGCTTCGAAGTGCTGCGGTTGCAGGTATTTATTTATTTATTTTCGAGCAACTAAACGCGAGTCAAATACATGCCCGTATTGTTAGTGGTGCTTCAGTGCAGCCGCTTATGCTGAATGACTTCCGAAATCCCGGTATGATAAGAAGCAATAAAGGCAAAACTGGCTACCCCAGCTACCAGAAGTCTATCAACCTTTTTATCATGTCTCATAAAACGGGGCAGGAGAGAGTTCATCAGCCATGCCGTTTTTACAAAGTTTGCGACAATCAGGGCTGTAGCCCAAATTTTCGTTTGCGGCAGGTGGAGACATAAAACGGAAGGTCCTTTAATTAGAACGCATTCTTATGAGCGTGCGCGCACACATACACATACGAAATGTTAAAAAGTTTCGGGGCTATCCACTCCCCAAAACCACCTACTTGGCTACGCCACTAGCGATGATGTACGATTTCTATAGTTTATACACTCTCCGTCGCAGTTGAGGTTTCTGAGAAAACGAACATTCCCTTTCATTATTAGCAAAAATCTAGCACAAGCACGAAAATTAATTATTGCATTTATCAGCGAAAACGAAAAAAAAAGAAAATACTGAAAGATAACCGTGGGGCTGGAGATATTTCTGTAAAAAAAGTAAAAAGCGGATTCGGCACTTGCTTAACGTTTCTTCAACTGTTTCAACCCACTCGTTCACAAAGCTGTTAAAAAAATGAAATGTCGCTGAACCGTGCTTGGTTTGCTACAAGCTCCGGTAGGAGCTCGCTATGAATAATTATAGTAGAAATTTAGTGCACTTTGAGAAATCGAAATCCATTTGTTGTTTAATTATAAATGCACCACTGCGATGTTACCTCTTGTTAGTTAAGTAAATGTTCGCACAACTGTTCAAGGCTTTGTTAAAATGAAGCAAGTGCGGTAATAAAATATTTCAACAGAACCAAGATTCACTAACGCTTGCAGCTGTGGTAAGGACGCAGCACCGAGTATGTTAAGCTATAGGCTAACTATTCCATGAAGTAGATTCATTCGAGTTCCCTCAGGGCTTCCTCCTTGCCACAGAACTGCGTGCTTTAGAACCGGGAGCTTCACTGTTTTCAAAACGTATAACGGCTTCAGCACCATCATTACGAATTTGTAGAGTCTCGGTATTTGATCACTGAATGCCCCAACACTATAGAGAACTGTCGATGTCCCCATAGCTGTCGCTTCTGAAGTCATGTCACGGTGCCGTGTGGCGTGGGAGCACGTGCAGAAAATCTTGCAGAAACACTGAGGTTGGATTGGAAACACTGAGATTGGACAAAAAAAAAAAAAACGAGAGAAAAAACAGCCGTATATGACGAACACAAAATGAACCGTGAATAAGTTTGACCTGGTATAAGGCTGTGCATACAACAATAAACAAACCGTCTTAGAACGTCACGAGAAGCTATGTTGAAATGCTAATGGAATCCCGCATAAGTACAAGAAATTCCTGAGGTCATGACGATAGTTATAGCGTGAGAACAAAACAACGACACAGAGACAAGAAGGACGTGAAGGTCCTTCTTGTCTCTGTGTCGTCATTTTGTTCGCGCGCTATAACTGTCGTCATGCCATATCAACTAGCCCAAGCTGCCACACTCCTGAGGTCAATCACGAAACATTGTCGGTGGTGCAGAGGGCTCGAGTATGAGACCCTGGGCATTCGTCAAGCTGCTGCGACAGCTTTTTGCCCAGGTGTCCCTCCAGATTGTGTATTGGTAAATAAATTGAATTGAATTGAATCGAGTCGTTTTTTGGTAGAACGGACCGTACTTCCCGTATTTAGAGCCCCCAAATTGTCACTTCGTAGATTACACAATTCCCAAGCCATTGAGCTTGCTTCGACCTTGAATACTGTTTGCTGCAAAGCGCCTTCTGAATTAACCCACGTCGTAGAACTGAACTGTTTCATCTGACAGTGTTTGTACCACTAGCTTTCCTTGAAGTAACCGAGCACAGCAGCGCGTGAAAAAGATACAAAGCGCGGAGCCATTCATAGCGCTGACTGAGCGTAAGGGGAACGCGGTAAGAAGGGCCTGGTTGTTGGCTTCTTGTAGCGGCAGAGTCCCTCCTGTTGCAGTGCAAGAGGACCCGAATGCTACTCTGCCCCAGGTGTGAGAGGCGACCCCTCCGACAAGGCGGTGGCGATGGAGAAACGGCGGAGAGGCTACCGGTACTCTGACTGGCGCTGCGTTCCTCAATCACCTCCTCCCACAGGTGTCGTTCCGACGGAGTGCAGGGGCGAAAGCGTTGGGGGGGAAGGAACGCACCCCTCGCGCAAACTGGTTTCTGATTTCTTTGTGGCGGCATTCCTGGCCAGCTACAAGATGGACGTCGGCTGTGTACAGCAGGAAGCCAGGTCGGCGGCGCTGTAACGCTCTCCCTCATTGGACCGCGTAGTCACAAAGACTGCTTTTCAACCAATGACGAGGAGTGTTACATGCGCTCTTCGCGAGAGAAAGGGGAGTTGAGAGCGAAGGGGGGGGGGGTCTCTTTCCTGCCCTGTTCTGCGCTCCCCCGCCGCGAGCACGCAGCGGTCACGAAGGCTTCTCAGCCGCGCGACGTCGTCGTCCGACGAGGAAGCCGACAAGGTTTGGCGACGTTTCGTCTACTATTGTCGTGTGTGAAGCAGCGGAGTATATCCAGTGCGCGTGCGTGTCCCTTGGCCTTCACTTTCAGTGTAATCAGAGTTCTACTTGGATTACTGCGCGCAAGCGAACCGTCGCTGTGACTTCGCCGTGCGAGGCCGGACCGGAACAAGTCTTCTCCGGCGGGTGCCCTCCATGGATTATCGAGTCGTCCGTGAGTGTGCGTGTGCGCCGCCGTCGTGACGCCTAGCGCCGCGAGGTGCGCTGTGACGTTCCGGAATTTCGGCTCCGTGTACCGCTCCAGAATAGACTATGGCCCACAACGCATCGACAACGCCAATCTGCCGCTGCCGGGTCCTATACCTAGGTTCGGCCGTCCCTCACATCACGAAGGACGGCCTTCAGGGCATTCAGGAGCCACTACGCGAGCTTTACCCAGATCAGGGACCCGTGTCTGCTCGAGGCATTGACTCGTGGCTCAGCGTCTGGAGCAACGGACTCCTATTGGAGAACGTTGATGAGTCCCTGCGCCAGCACGTGCGGTTTTTTCCCATCGAGACGCTTCACTACTGTGCAGCGGTGCGCCACGTCGTTGTGCCAGGCTCAAGCGGATCTGAACGCGTTGAGAAGTTTCTGCCTCTAGACAGTCCGTTCGCGAGGCACGCCGGACCACAGCAGCCTCCGTTGTTCGCGTGCATACTGAGGAGGACTACTGGCATCAAGGTGCTCGAATGCCACACGTTCATCTGTAAAAAGGAGGCAGCGGCCAATGCCCTCGTACGTTGCTGCTTCCACGCGTACGCCGACTGTACGTACGCCAAGCAGTTGGAAGAGAACCCCTACGCTCTAGACGGGCCACCGCGGCGAGCTCAGTCTGTTGTGGGACTGGACACTGTGCAGAAGGTCGAAGCATGGCGTCACCAGCAGGCCGAGCCTTCTACCAGCAACGGCGTGCCACACGCGAACGGTGGCTCTATCTTGCTCGACGACGAGACGGAAGACGACGAAGGGAACTACAAAGTCTGGACTGGACCTGCTCCGAGAGAACTTGTCTACATGGACACCAGCGGCACACTAAGAAGCGTTCAATCAACCGCCACAGGACCCCCCAAGTCGTCTCGTCCCCGACAGCTCGCCATACCCTCTCGACCACCGCCGCCACCATTGCCACCGCTTCCGCCTCCCGGCTCAAGCAAGATAAACGGTCACAAGGAGAGCTCAAAGTCAAAGAAGAAATCAAAGTCCAAGTCCTCGTCGAATTCCTCGCCGCAGCAGCTCCCTCCCATGCCGCCTCCACCTCACCTTAACGGGTACAGCATGATATCAGGCTACAGCGGCAACCATCCACCACCTCCCATGATGATCCACTCGGAAAGGATGCGCAGGCCTCCTGAAAGGCCCATGCTGTACAGCTCCGAGGAGCCCTCGTACATACCTGCCGTGCGAGCAATGAGTCCGACCGCCTCCTACCAGCCTGGCATGTATCCCCACGAGCAATACTTTATGCAGAACTACAGCACAGCTCCCCGCCCTCACGGAAACAAGCACAGGGGAAACGGCGAGCACGCACCCTCCTCGAAGCATCCCAAGGAGCACAGGCGCAGCAATGGAAACCATGATGACTCTGCGGGAGGGGACACTGACTCTCCCTTCAACACGGGCATCTACCGCCGGAAGGGCCATCTAAACGAGCGTGCCTTCTCCTACTCCATCAGGCAGGAGCACCGGTCGAGGTCTAACAGCCTGGCTAACCTGCACTTCCTCAATGGTGGGCCTGAAGGCAACGGCGATCCTGGACCTTCCGGTATGGACAAGAAGGACAGAGAGCTCGCTCAGCTCGTGGGCGACCTGGACTTAAGGGACAACAATGGTTACGGAGGCCCATCTCACAGGCCAGTTACGCCGGACACAAACTTTACCCGAAAGAAGGCATCGTCCAAGAACTATGCTTGGTAAAAAGCACGAAGAATGGTGGGACGAGTTCCACAACAAGGCACGCTTTTCATCCACTCCTCATGGAGAGAGACGATAGACTTCATTGAATTATCCGGTGCGCGACTATCCCAGCCCTGCGAGGGTAGGGTCATGGTGATGCGGCCACACACCAACTCGGCCTGTCGTCCTCTACTCGGCGTGCAGCCCTCGCTACTCCGGCCTTCTGGATGGATGGATGAATTGATATGGCTGTACCCTTTGGATCGGGCGGCGGCTAACACTACCTTCTGGCACTTGCGCTCGCGCCCGTGCTCCTCGCGGAAGATTTGTGGAGCGTTCGTGCGGTCAACGTATATTGGAGTGCACTATGATAATGAATGTAACTGGATAGATGCCATGATAAGCGACCGCTCCGTGCTTGTGTGCGAAGTGCCACTGTGTCCTCAACGTGTGCGTTTTTCCCCGTTTGGTGTTTTCTGTGTGATGTACTTTATACGACTGAGTGGTAATGACGGTGGCTAAGCGCACGATGACACGCCAAAATGGATATATGCATGTAACGTGGATTGCCTTGCCCGGCCGAAAGGTGCCCACAGGATTAAGACTCATCGGTGATGATCCCCATCGTAATACCACCCAAGGATTCTGCTCACTTGTTCCCCGGCTTCGAATCGGCCAAGTCAATTGTTTAGATTAAAACACTTTGCCTTTGGTTACAGCTCCATTATTACTGGGTGCGACCAGAAATATGGTTTGCTTCAAGGCAGCGCTAAGATTTAACACTGAGGAACACTTCGTTAAGCTCTTGTTATCTCGTAATAACCAACAGTCTGCTTTGTTTGTGTGTGTTTGGCCAACTGACCGACTTTCTAATCCTGTGTGGATGTGCTAGGGATTCATGAAATAACCCTGGGAAAATATGAAGGCGTTCGCTTGAAACCGCACTAGTGTAATTCCCCAACGCGCATTTCAGAGAACCAATCAATTCCGATGAGCTAGATGGCCCTTCTGTGCTTATTGGCTGTGCGTTGATTAGTGAATGTCCAAGTTCAGAAGCGTAGGCCAAATCGAGAAACAACGATTGATAGTATACCACTTATTTGAAGATTATATTTTTGCGTTTACAACAATTTATTTTCTCTGGCATTGAATGCACAAAAAAGAGCAGAAAGACGATGCAAACACCGCGTTAACGTGCAAAAAATGTTTCAGTTTATGCTGCAGTCCCATTGTACTGGCATTGGCTAATTTTACATCAATCTTATGCTACCACTAAGAGCTGCGCTCAAAGCTCAAATGATCGCTTGGAAATGTATTGTGACTTCATCTGATCAAAGTCGATCGCTAGTCATTTGTGGAATGCCCAGCTAGCACTTACTAGAGAAGGATTCATTTGGAAGGAAGAAAGCCGCAGCATATCTTGACTGCGCGTGAAGAGCAAACTTGACTCTCAGGTGTCCCTACCTTGTACGAGCGCTCTTGCTACGTTTGCAATAGAGAGTCAGACGAATGCATAGGATTGATATGCATAAGCAAGTGCTGAAGTTGAGATGAGAAAGGAATCCGAAGATCGACTGACTCAAGGTGGCGCGCGCTTAAGAATGAAGCGATAGAGACACTCACTTGGTAGTCTGTTACTGCTTTTCTTTTTAGAACATTGCAGATCTTTACCAATAAATAGGTACTTTTTTGATACATGCACTGATTTAATGAGAAAGAAAACGGGAAACAACCCGTTTTAGCATAAAGCCACTATAGTTCATGCCGCAAACGGTTTAAAGGTTTGGTTTTGTGTCGAAATGCAGATTATTATGACTGCCCGTCATCGAAGTCGTGTTTGGTTGTCATGACTTAACAGCGTGTGCATGGTAGCTGTCAATTATAAGGGTCTCGCAAGAATGCACCTGTGTTCGGCGGTCACTTATAATCGTGAGAAATACATAGTAACTCATTGCATTACGCACGAACCTCTGCCAAGCCCCGACAGATCTACGGCCGTATGCCTGGTTAGCGATTTCAGCTGTTGATTAAGAGAATAAGGGGAATGTGTTCTGACGCAAAGACACCCCTCCTTCCGTTTTTTTACATGTACAGAACCAACGTTCTAGCTATCTATTTACTACAAAGCTGAATACTACGCATTCATATTGGAAATACGTTACCTGTTCATATTTGTCAGCTGCAAATTCATGCACACTGTTAGCCTTCTTCAACTTGCTGGGCAGCTGAGCGAAACCTTCGATTTGTCTTCAAGCAAGTGACATTAGTTATGCGCATACGGGCGTCCGACAGCCATTTACTTTACCTTCTATGAAAAAAAAAAGAAAACTGCTTGCGTTCCTGGTGTGCTCATGCTAGAAATATGTGAACTGTTTTTGCTTGACCAACGCGGTCATTTACGAACCCTTGTAGCGCCGCAGGTGTTGGCAGGCTTCTGGAATGCCACTTGCAAGGTGTTGTTCATTCATAAACTGAGAGTCACAATTCAGAGCCGCTTATAAAACTGTTGATGACGTAGTTAGTTTTCATTTGCTTTCAAAAGGTATCCTGCTTTCCAAATCAGAAATCGTGCAGCCGTCACAAATACGCGGGCTCCATTACAGGTTTTCTGCTCTCAAATATGTAAGAGTACGCAATCCATAGTTGCGCACGGAGTACCCGTTTCCTCTTCCTCCATTCTAAGAGCACATTCGTTCCGTTTGTCTTTCTTCAGCGTTGCTAATTTTAGCCTTGGCTACAACGCTCAAATGCGCGTGGCCGTTTTCAGTATGCGTGAGCCGACCGTCAAACTTGCGAGATAAGGATTACGAAATCCGCGTAAAGCCGATAGTGCTTTCGCCGGGCTTCTTACGGCTTTTCGTACTAAAGTAACCTTCAGCTCGCGTTTATAGGCAAGAGTACCGGCGCAAGCGTCTTACAACGGACGCCCCGTACCGCGGAATGATCCGGTGGCCGTGCGTTGAACTCGGACAAAGTCCAATGCTGAGCGGCGGGTCGTACGACGTGTGCCCCGTGCCTAACGTTGACACCGGTGGCTTGAAGGCTGAAGCCTCCACGTTCTTCCTAAAGAGAGGAAACACGTTGTTTGGTTTATCGGTCATGTGCTGCTCCAGAGCAGTGAGGGCTACCCCCGAAATTCAACTACGTTGTGGAAACCTGCAACAAAAAACGAAGTAAAATGATGAACGAGAAACACATTTGTTCAGACGCATCGACGTACATACTCCGAACAGTCCAGAAAAAAACTTCACGTTGTATTCATTATTGTAATGCTTTGTAAAATGTTCCAGAACTTTATTTCCTAGTAAACAGTAAAGCATCCTTGTTCATCACAGTCAGCTTATCACTGTCACGATGACGCAATTGTGACTTTGTTACCTGGCCAACCACAGAACAGCCTAGCCTTACGCCTAGCAAGGCTTAGTAAACTTCGACAAGTTGTGGGCTCGAAAAGCAGAAGGTTTAATCACCTACTACAGGTTTTATTTCTTGCATTTCAGGGCACTAGCCATAGCGACCATGTAGCTATGGCTAGTGCCCTGATCGTGAAATAGAATACTAGTATATTACGCAGCATCTTAGTCGCCTTGACGGACCAGGACTCTGAAACAAAGGATGAAGCTGTACTTGTCACAGTATACTGTGACAAGTACAGCTTACAACTATATATAGTTGTAAGCGTTTTCTGAATATTTGATAAAATTAAGCCTTAGCTTCACTTGCTGATGCATGCAATTTAAGCTCTGATTATTTCAGCGTATTGTAATATAATTTGTTGATCATATTTATAGATGATAAAAAATTTGCATGCTCGATAAATATTAGTAAAGATTTTGTGTTGCTGCTATCGTTGATGTAAAAGAAAGCGCAGAAGTTCAATCAAAATTTCAATAAGGTGGTAGCAAAATAGTAATGTTTTGTGGCCATCATGAGTTTTGTGAAATAAAGATAGCCCAAACTTGCTGTTATCGCTGTTTTATTAATAACTCCGATAACATTTCGTTAGTCTGTGTCCTTAGAATGCCTGATATAATATTATGGTGCGTGCCGAAGATTTATCGTTTTCATCCCAATAAAGAGTGTGCCTTTAGGAAATTTATTGAAATATGCGTTCATGAACGACTGATGTCAATCACTTGACGCATTTTACGCATATATGTCAGGGAATGCGTGAAGTACATGCACGTTAATCATGACGTGATTGCCGATGTGTCATCTTCTTTGCCTCATCGGTGTTCCGGAATATATAAAATCTTTCTCTAAGAAAGCAGATTAATTGGAATGAAATAGCAAATGTTCATAAATTTGAAGACGAAAAAGTGAAGTGCACATTTATTGAAACTGAATATTAACTCATGGATTTGTGCGTGGACATAGAGGCATCGATTTTCAGTTTGTTGATCCCTGTTTTGATCCTTATGTTTTTCTCTTCAACACGGTTAACGATCGAGTATGTTTTACTATGTCACTTGCATTCTAATACAAGACGGTCAAAACGTTTATTAACAGTAATATATTGTACTAGCAAAGTAGCACATATAGTAGGAGAAGTTCAGTAAACTGAATGAGTGTTGTCACAATTGGAATGCGTTTGTGCTACTTATGATGGGACACTTTGAAAACAGATAATGCTTATGCTACTGAACGTGACCCCAAATGGGAAACTGCGTAGAAAGAAAGAGTGCGAGACTTGAGTGGTTTGTTCTTTCTGCTCTTCGTTGTTGTGTTGACGATGCATCGACTTGTACAGCTCCGAGCAAGACCTTTCTGTGTGCAAGAATGTCCTGCTCTGTTGTTATGCCGAAATAAAACGGACAGTTCCTGGTCAAATCAAATGCGCCTAGCTCATTACTTACTTTACTTTTTTTTTCAATTTAGTATATACGTCATTTTATGACTTTGGCCATGCAACCAGGAAATATTTCTGTTCTAAATGGCGTGATGGAATCTCTGTCGCTGGAGGGCGAGCGCGACGGTGCAACGTCAACATGTATGAGAAACCAGTTGCTTGTAAATCCCACTCCTTGCTTGTCGGTTTGCTGGTGCGTCAAAGTTGATATTTCTTGCCTATAGCAGTTTGTTGAAATAGCTGCCATTAGGCGAAGGTGACAAATAAGAAGCCATTGCGGCACTGACGACAATTGAGGAGGTGGAGCATATTGCCATGGTGTACGAAAGTGGTCATTATACCAGGTACGGAGGCGACCAGCGTAGTACTTAGAAATTACAATCATGACCGCGGAAAGTACAGGTGTGTGCCAAGTGGGCGATGCTAGCTGCTGCCCGGAGAATAAACATTTTCTTAAACCGAACAAGCGTATAACTTTTCGGCATGTCGTTATGCAGTGGTCTATTTTTCTTTATGTTCATATAGTAAACTACGAAAGCTTCGTTCAATAAAATCTAGTATGTGTAGAAATTAATCAAATAGTACTTTATATATACTCAGCTGCTAGCAACTGAGGAATCGCTCAGTATAGGTGTGAAAAACATAATCGAGCAAGAGAACCTTGTGTAACGCTTCCCTCGTAATATAGTTAAGAAATCGGGGATGTAAAGCATCTCGTGTTTTGAAAAGCGTTGCGTGTGGGTTTCAGAAGTTCACGAACAATAAAAAAGAATCGGAAATCCGCATGAGCACGTGAAGAAAAGAGGCATAGAATGCGTAATGAGTACAAAGGTTATAAAAGGAGAGAAATGTTTGCTATTTCTGAAAACTTGTGTTACATTGCAGGTTTAAACATAATGTACTAACATGATTTACAGCGTAAAGTTAGAAAATAAAGACTAGGATGCAGACAGAAGTACAAAAAAACAAAAAGAAGATGGCGCTCATGCACCCTGTTCACATCTGCCCTTCGAGTCATTCAGCATGTGCCAACTAGCGCAAGAAAAAAAGTATTGTGCAGTATACACCACAGAGTGATTTGTCCTATTGTCCTAGGCCTTATCCCACGTTCCAAATTGCCAAAAAATATTCGATCTCGCTAAACGTCTGCTAAGGTTCTGGCGATCCTGGATGGAAGAGCATCAGACGTGGAAATAGGTTGGATCGGGCTTTGGTTGTCTGATCGAGGCCTTCTCTTCTTGAACCTGAAAACTTTCTTCCGAACCACGTGGGTTTCATTCGCAGCTTTTAATATAAGCGGATCACGGTTTTTATTTTTTGAGTTTATCATATGTCAGAGTCGTTCTTGCATACGCTGAAGACACAGCTTAACAACGTGGATGCTTACTGCAGTAACAACAACGACAGAAAAATAAAAATTTCGAAAGGGTCAGTTTTTTCATCAGGACAGCTACTGCTGTCTTTTCCAGCGTTGACATATAGGCTGCTGCATTACCATTCCTTCTTCGTTACGCGTACTTCACTTTCGTGTCTGTTGAATCACTCCACTGACCTACAAGTCATTGCATCTACCTAATTGGGAGCTTACATTTCGACAAAATGTGCGAACGCTTTTATTACGCCCTGAAGACGTGGCGGACTGATCACACCCAAAGAAAAAAAATCAATATCAAGACGAGTTACTATGAGAACCCCATGTGCTGTCGATCATGCAAAGTCGGAGAACAAGTGTACGACCAACGGGCACAGTATGTCGTGATAATGGAGTTGGGATCTGTGCAGTATGCCCACATAAACATCGCATCACGTTTTGTATTGAAATGGAAGAAAATAATGTTCACGCAATTCTAATTTTTGTAGAGTTTACTCACCCGCTTCACTGTAGCTCACTTCAAATATATTTCACCACGTGTGTCAGATCCCCACCCCTTTACGTCAAATATAACAAAGAGTGTTCCACAACACTCCTCGCGGCCCAAACGTATACAGGGATGATTGATAGCAGCGAGTTCTGTGATATAGGTGGGACAAAAAAGAAATGGTATTTTAAAAAAGGTATATTTTTGTTCACACACTGTTTTCTAATAACACGGTGTCAGAATTCATGCAGATATATTTTGTTGTCAAAATGAGCGAGTCGAATGCACCAGAACTATTCAAATTTACTGGCCCGCTTGCTTCAAGAAAATCATGTGACTACAGCCATATATCAACGTGTGGCACTTTTCGGCAAATGATCGGCGTACTCTAGAATGTGTCTATGCACCATATGTCGGATGGCGAGTAAAATGCGAGTTTCATGAAAAACTTCGCACGCCGCATACCCAAAAGAACGTTCTTGTCGGCATAAGTGGTTGCCTCGACCTTTGCGAGCGAAGCTGCCGAGACAATGTTCAGCAAGGCGAAATGCATGAGTATTGTACTATCAAGTTATAGGATCACTCCGGGGCAAAGGAGGAGGAGGAGGATAAGAACAACGAGAGAGAAGGCAGGGATGTTAACCAGGCACATGCCCGGTTTGCTACCCTACGCTGGGGGAATGAGAAGCGGGTGTATAAAGGTGAGAGAGACATGAAATAGAAGAGAAAGAGACAAAAAAACAAGGATTGTCAGTCAATGGGCTGACGCGTATGCAGCGGTGGCACTACACAGAAATTAGAGTGTTCACATAGGCATGCAGTCCTCAAAAAGCGCAAGACGGCTTTGACTGCCTTTGAGCGGACGGAAGATGAGGACGGTGCTCCTGTAGCTTTGGCCCGAAGGAATCCGGTGTTATTTATTGAATTCATCAGGGGCAAAGAAAGCTCAGCACTGCTGCTAATGACTCACGGGCTTAGCCCGTAAGTACTCTGTGCGAACAGTCTCCAAGTTCAAGTTTCAAATTTACATTGTAAAATGCTACGAAAAATAATGCTTTAGAGAGGGAAAAGCAGAGGTACTACTGTGACCCCCGTCCGTCTGACAAGTGAGCCAAGTGCATCCATGCCAGCACCAGACAATACTAGATTGTTAAATGATCCCAAGATATATCTTGTATAGCGTGTGTTCTCGCGCTCCATCCCATACGCAGCAGCTATAGTTCAGATGTTTTGAGTTGTGCAGTCATTTCTCTGGGCACTTTTTATTTAGGACTACTCCCGTACTGTGAACGCCGATATGGTGAATATGCCATAGCAATAAAGTAATTCTGGACCACTATGCGTTGTACAAGTTTCTCAGAGATAGCCGTTCGTGATCCACTTGACTGTGAGAAGTCGGTTTATATTCGCATAGATGAACAGGTCACGCCATATGAGCCGTTAGCCCAGATTCCCATTTTGTAGATAATACAGTTTTTGAATTCATGAAAGAAATGCATACATTCTTGAAACAATTTTGTCTTCAGAATAATGATGGAAATATATGCATTCAAGTGAAAAGGTCAATGGATTGGAACGAATGGAGGCTGGCGTGTGGAGGTGTCGTCACTGCACGTGAAATGGCCGAATCTATCATCTTACTCGAATCTCCCATGTTCGCTTGCTACAGCATAGCGTTCCTAAATCCAGCCCAGGATAAAGATCCGATTGATGTCCTATCCGATATTGATATTGGTCTTTGAACGTCTCCGAGAAGATGAAGCAGATTGGATGAACGGCGTTGGGAAAAGGCCGCAAAAAGCTGTGGTATATACAGAGACACCAGCGTTGCAGCATTGAGCACGCCAGTTGTTCATCTACGGCTGTGGCGTGCAGACAATGAAATCACGCCAGCCAACATCTCCTTATATATCATATCAATAAAAAAAAAGAAATCACGCCAGGGCTATCCTTGCTGGCTGCAGTGCGTGAACCACCAGAAGCCACCGAAGATGCGCGCCACCGGCGCAAAATGCAAGCGCGGCTGATGGTACATTAGGAGGGGGCGCAGACATTGGCGTGCATCGGCAGACGTATATGCAAGGTGCTCACGCTCCTTCGCGAGAAGCGTGCAACGTTGCATGAACCGTGGAGCTGACGTTGGGTACTTACAAAGGCCTATTCCATGGGGCTGCACACGCAAGAAAGCAATTGACGTTTAACTCTGCAATGGGCAGCACTTCAAGATGACAAAGCAGTTCATAGTACCACATATTTCATATAAGTAATATTGGCGCTAAGTGTTTTCAGACCCCTTGGTCCCAGAAAATTTAAGTTTCCCAGCTATTCCGTCAAACTGCAAAGTACATGTTGCTAGCACCATTTAGGAGACTGGAATGTACATTCAGGGCTTCATGCTGAAGCAGCAAAAACAGCTTTTTTGTAGCGTACGTCTTCCAGAAGTTTTGGTGTTGACATTACAGGCAACATTCCTGACGGTCAGTAAGTGTTCGAAAGAAAGTGTTTGCTTAAACGTATGTACCACGATTGGAAGTATTGGATCCTTTTTTATGTACACCAGTTTGAATTCCTGATCACTGTGGTTTCGTTCGAATGCGTGGTCTTGCGTTCCGCTCCCGTACTAATTCGGGGCCAGGGCAGACACTTTGTGCAAAAGCAAAACTGAACAGGCTCTGTGGCACGACGCGGCGTAGTTGGATGCACACATCTTCTACGAAGAGTGCATACTACTGATGAGATTGAGCACGGACAGGCCGGCTACAGAGTGTGGCAATCAAAACAGGCCCCCCGCTGCACGGATGAACGTCGGTCACTCTACCGGGCCCGCATTCGAGCACCTGCGGCAGACGCACAATTCTCCGCGCTTCCTGGCGGCCCCGAGGCGGCGATGACCTCCTGCGCCCGGCCAGCAATGGCTGCTGTTCTTTCTGCTTTTCCCACCTTCCGCCCTCCTCTCTCTCTCTTTCACTCACTTCCCATATCGTTCTTTTGTGCTTTACTTGTTTTGTCTGTACCTCTTGTTGATGACCCACCACCATACGCTACGCTGTCTCTTTTTGTTATATTTTGGTATCCCTCATTCGTTTCACTGCTTCCGGTGTTGCGTGCTGGTCAGTCGAGCCGGCTC